TGATTGGCCATGAAGCGGAAGATGAAGGTGTACGCAGCAGGTTGCACCAACACACCGGAGAATGGTCCGTTGAAGAAGTAGGGGTTAGTCTGCTTCTGCACATCGAAGCGGTGGCTTCGGAACTCAGTCAAGCTGTCCAAGGTGACGACACCACCGGGTGAGTAGTCAATCAGCTCTTGGAACTGGCTAGCGACAGTCTTGTAGTTGTTGCCAGCTTGGTAAAGGTCAGGCCTTGTTGGCGAAGCATCGGCTTCGTACTTGTTGTGGGAGCCGCTCAGCCCATTGCCCAGGGTACCTGTGACGCCTGCTTGCGCGATGGATGGCGTGCCACCCATGGACCAGCTAAGAAGGTCACCGTCGAGGGCGCCACCAAGAACTGAGAGGAAGGTCGACAGTACGGGGCCCATGCCTACCACCTTTTGGGTGGCTTCGATGTATTGTGCAACAGTGGCGTAGCCATTGTGGGGTAGGTAGTTCTTCAACGTGTTAGTATCATCAACTAAGTAGGACACAGTGGAGGACTCACGTGGTTGGCGAACGCGTTAAGACCAGGGCAAGGTCCTCGGAGGTCATCCGCTCCTGGAGCAACGTACTCGTGGCCGCTACCCTTGGAGATGTTGATGTACTGGGCCTTTGCGTCGAATTTAGGCACTGGCTCAAAGATGGCTGTTGCAGCACCTGCACCACCTTGACGGCCTTGCAGCTTCACCAGTCTCGCGGCCTCCTCGGCGCGCTTCAGGAGCTCGGGATCATGACCAGCAGCGTCCAAGATGGCGGTTGGCCAAGCGCTGGCAAGGGGCGCCGCGGCGATTAAAGCTAATTGAAGAGAAGAGAAGTGCATGTTTGTGATTGATGAGAAGACTTGATGCTGGCAATGAAATATAGACCAGATGGGTCGGGCATGCTATATACCAATCTGCAGGTACGTACCCAACATCGCCATCACGTTTGCTGTCACCCATAGTCTGCATGACGCGCATCGGCGACGTGAGCATGGCCGCGGTTGACCTGGTCGTTCAACAAAGACCCCGCTGTCGATCTCTTGGTCGATAGTACACAACGGGCGACGGCCATCTCCAAGGACGCTTTGGGCTGCACGAGAGCCTGTGGAGATGACAACCACCCGCCTGTGATTCGTGAACTGCTCTCGATCGGAACCTTAGGCGCCAGACTATTACCTATGGATCCGGGGTAGTGCCCGAGGAAGAAAGGTCAGATGGGGAGAAAGTGGGATTGTGGCCAATATCAAGCAACCGCCACCCGCGCCGAACAGGAGGCACCTGCGAGAGTTATGATACTAGCCGTCCTCAAAGGTCTAAGACCTGGCTGAAGTTGGTATGCACGATGCGGTAGTTGGCGGCACTTACCAGGGGTACCCTCCGGATGTTAGCGTGCCCGAACCAACAGGATCGAAGCCCGTACCCAATTATGGAGAACGGTCAGCTTCCCGTATACCAAAGCATCGTGAGATCTGCACAACGCTACTTCCGATGCAACTTAGACACCCCTGAAGGAAATTTATCAAAAGACGGGCAGTAAAATATTTGGAAAGTTGCCTCGGTCAAAGCGCCTTGGGCCAATGACGGCGATGTTGATGGTAAACTCTCTGCTCTCCTAGGCTGCCAAGATCATACGTCACAGACGCACTTGATCGATCTTGCAGCGTGCCAACTGTATACTAGTTTTCTTGGGTTGCGGATGGAGGCGTTGCTGCGGACGCATGTGGCTGTGAAGTGTAGCACTTTGCACAAGAACCGAGGAGATGCCCAGGTGTGGAGGCACGCGATGTTACCGGCAGAGATCGGCATGGAGGCCTTCATCCACTGCTCCCATCTCCGCTACCAAGATTTGTTTGCGCAGGGCAGTTTCCCCATACTTTTCTTTTTCGATCTCAAGATCTAGACACACTAGTACCTGTCGTTCACCCTGGCGCTACATACTTAGGTAGAACTTTCGCATTCGCTAGGTCTACTGCAGCCGATATTTTCCGTCAGGAGTGTCATAACACCAACATCGCCGGTACTCGTGTGATTACTGGGACGCACTATGGAAGCAGAGGTGTGGTAGTTGTCTCACCGTAGCGTGCGCTTTGATCGAGCACAAGTGCATGGCCAATCACATCCTCAAGCTCAGTTTCTCCCAACCGACCATCTGAATAGAGCACCATGCTGCCGGTAAACATCAATGCTGAGCAGATTCAAGATGCCATAGTATCCACTTGAAAGGCCTGCAAAGTTATGCCTAGGCCTTTCACGATGGGTGTAGAATTTACGATTGGGTTTGGCGGAAGCGTCAAAGCTACCCTGACAGCAGTGCGACAATCCAAGATCTTGGGAGCCTTGTACATTGATGCTGATGTCGTTTTTCATCATACGTAATATGGCATTCCCCGCAACTATTGTATGTGACGAGGCTCAAGTTTGCATATGCGGCACTCTCCGGTGACATCAACCGTCCAGGAAGAAATTTTACAGAGGGGAACAAAGACAGACGCATATTCTTCGGATACCGAAGCTGTTATGTATGGATGAGATATTTATGCCAGCACAATCTATAGACACCCCTTTGCTTCCGTGTATGCTGTCATGAAGCTCACCAAGGCCGTTACTGCACTCATCAACGAGCTTGACCGACTTTGCTGCACCGTTGATAAGACTGTGACTAAGTACACGTTCCAAATTGCGGCTGGCAACCCCACGACAGTCTACAGTAGTCAAGTTCATCATTACCACACCACCCATAGCTTGAACAGCATCTCCCGAAAGTACTGCCCGTACAAGTCTGGCCATTCCCATCTGCTCCACACCGTCCGCCAGTGCTGACGTTGGTCGGAACGGGTGCTGCAGATGAATTCCGACTAGTCGTTGGTGTTGGCGTTGGTGTGGAAGTAGTTGTCGGTGTGGGCGACTGTTGAGTCGAGGAGCTGCTGGGAGCAGGGGCCGGCGCAGAAGAAGAGCCTGGCGGCGGTGCCACGCCACCGCAAGTCCCAAAGCCAAGACGACAGCCAGTGCCGCAGAAGTCTATGGAATTACCACAATAGTAGTACTCCGAGCAGCAGCTTCCGAAGGCGGAGCCGGCACACGTGGTCGCGTTTCCGCATTGCCCATTCGTCGATGGGATGAGTGTGCCGGATGGTAGTGGTGGGAGAGCAGATGAGCTCGAGGGGATAGGGACTGAGCTTGTGGGTGGCAGAGGGGTGGGAGTCGGTGTGGGCGTAGGTGTTGCGGTAGGCTCTGGTGCTGCATCACCGCATCTTCCGAAGTCAGGCTGACATCCAACTATGACACCGCAGTGCTAAAAAGACCCCGTAAGCTTGCGTGAAATCGAGATGTTGGGATCGCGCATACCTCGAACTCAGTCCCACAGTAGCCATAACTTGAGCAGCATTGGTTACCACCGCATCTCTGGTTACTGAAATCAGCACCACAGCGTCCCGCCGCTTGTCGAGGGAACAAGTAGTGAAGAGAGCGAGAGTAGAGGTTTGGCGTTGTAGTGTTACGCTTCTCAAGATGTTGCGCAATGGTATCTTCGATGCCTTCTGATACGTGAAGAGGTCCTCGTGGATGCACAACGAGTGTGGTTTTGATTGACGGGTCAGCTAGAGCTGAAACTCCGGAGAGGCTCAAAGCTCCTGCTAGGCTGATCAGTCTCCAATGCATGGTAGACTTTCTACAAAGATCGATGAGATACCAGGTAAACCAGACATTTCTAGTGAGCAAACCCAGGTATTAATCACACTTCCACATGGCCTCACGGAAGCTAGGGAGAGACAGCCAGGCGATAATGAAAAACATACCCACTCAATATAGCAGATGGGTTTACTGAGTACTTGGCCGCGTGCATGTGAGGCTCTTTCGAGTCTGAGAATATGCAGCAGACCAATCAAAGACAGTGCCAAACTCGACTTCTAAATTGAAGATGTAAGCTTTGATGGTTGTACAAGTGTTTACAGATATCCACGTTATTGCTAATATGGAGGCCAAACGATGGGTATCTTTGTGGGGCCTGTTGCGATTGCGCATGTGTGGGAGACCATCCGAGAATATCATTTCTGGAGAAATTGAGAAGTTGTGGGGGATATTGAGGTCAACGTGTGCATTACAATTGCTCTTTGGCTCAAAGCCCGGTACGCGGATTCAGCTGTCGTTGCGTCGTCCAGTATGATCGTACTCGTAGCCGCAAAGAACCATGGTGGATGCTCCGTGCAACTAACCGAATGGTGTTGTGGGGCATCTGAAGCATTTCCCGGCACATGCCCACGTGTGTCTCGTAGATTTAAGAACGTTCGTGTGTTGAAAAGGCTAAATGCAAGATGCCGACAATACCGAAATTTGATAGTAGCGATGACATGGTAATGCCTGAACGTCATACTCGAAGGTTTTTTGACATCTGGAGAGTAAGTTTAATGCAAGGTACCATCCATGATGGGTTGCGTTACCGGGTAAGTTGGGCTCTTCCGAAAGCATGTATTAGCCGCTGTCATCGGCGTTGCGCCAGTCCGTCTGCTGACCAGCTTTAATGAGGCGCAACACACAATGATCAGCAATCAATGTGAGGAAGCGCAATGCATCGGGCATCCGTGGCGCACGTACGGCACAAAGAGACCATCGCTCGATCTCAGTTGTAGATCTGATGTGTAGAGTGAGGACGACAGAAGGGCTGCAGAGCGGGGAATTGCAACGCGACCATGACGCGTTGACCTGCAAGGGAGGAAGCAGCCACCCAACCACCCGAGGATTGACCGTCCAAGTCGCGTACGGGCATTCCTCATCTGGAGGCGTCTCTGCCCGTGGCATGAAGACATGCACACTAGGTCCATGAAACAACGCATAACCACTGTGAGTCCTGGGCGATGCCCACCCGAAAGATGCCTAGCAGGCTTCAAATGGGGCGTCGAGCCACTATCGATCAACCATCCAAGTTACAGCACCACGCGATTATAAACCTTGATCTTTTTGTAAACATGCTGGGTATTCAAAATGCAAAGCTCATCAACTACACTACGCTCTCAGTCCCTCCATAAGAGCACCCTCCTCTCTCTTACCCACCGCCTGGAAGACAGCACCCTCACCACCAATATCTAATCCCTTCTCCGCCCTCTCATACGCCTCATCACTCCTATCCAACAAGATCTCCAATTCCTCTTTCCCCAACACCTTCCCACTTTCCGTAGCCTCAACATCAAACTTCTCTCCATCGCTTCTCCGGAGGAGCTTCTGTAATTCCTCAACCTCTTGCTCCTTCTCATTACCTCGAGTCCCGCCCCGGTCATTCCGCACACCACCCTTCCTAATGACAAGCTTTTCGAGTCGACGCTTCGCTTCTGCAGATTCAAGGAGTTTCTGCTCGACGGTGTTGCGCGTTGCGAAGCGGTAGACGATGACGTTGCGGGTCTGACCGATGCGATGGGCGCGGTCCATGGCTTGGAGATCTTGCTGAGGGTTCCAATCGCTGTCGAAGAGGATGACTGTATCTGCTGCTGCGAGGTTGATGCCTTGGCCGCCGGCGCGGGTGGACAGGATGAAGATGTCCGCAGCCTCCTTTGTAGTAGATGGCTTGTTGAAGGCTAGGATTTGGTCTTGACGGTCTGTTTGTGCGACAGATCCATCGATACGGGCGTAGTTCCAGGATCGTAGGTCGAGGTAGTGACCGAGGAGATCTAGTGTGGTGGTAAATTGAGAAAAGATCAGAACCTTGTGGCCGCGACGTATCAGCTCGGGGAGAAGTGCATCGAGGAGAAGCATCTTGCCAGAAGTTGACACGATAGTCTCATCGGGTTCTGTTTCCGATGCGAAGGTTTCGGCTCCGTCAGTGTCTGCTCGTATGAAAGGGTTGAAGAAATTGTATGGCGAGTTACAGCACAGTCGGAGCTGCATGATGGGGTTACCAAGCTTCTTCTGCATGAGCTGACGCTTTGCGATTTCGAAAGTCGCAGCTCGAGTTCTCTCGTCTTCAGCATCAGAGCTCAGATCTTGTTCTTCTTCCTCAGATTCTGGCTTGTCCAGTCCATCGAAGTACTCATCATCACTCACTTCTTCATAGTTCTTCTTGGGCCGGCCTCGGCTTCTCGTTGAGGCGACAGATGCGGGCGTACCTGCTCGAGACGTCTTCGCGCTCTTGCTTGGAGTCTCCCTGCTGCTCAAAGCCTTACGTTTGAGACTACCGTTGTTACTGCGGATACTCAATGGCGTTCCTGCTCGACTGCTAAGACCAATGCTCAATCGTTCAACAGCTTTCTCCTCGAGATAGGATCGACTGGTACCATCAAGGATGGCTTGGTACAGCTCACGTTGCATGGAAGTCAACGGAGCGTACAACACGTACTCGCGCTTCTTGGGCATCAAGCTCTCAACGTCTGTCTTGACTCGTCGCAGCAAGAACGGCTTCAGGACAGCATGTAGTGACTTGACCAGATACTGCTGTCGCTCCTCCGATAGCAGCTGTTCGAAACTCGACTTGTCTTTTAGCCCAGAGAAGTCGAACCAGCTCTCAAACGTAGATAACTTGTCGAATACTGTCGGCAGTAGGAAATGCAACAGTGACCACAGCTCCACAAGATTGTTCTGCAATGGCGTACCAGTAATGAGGAGACGGTTGGCGGACTGGAACTGTTGCAACTCGCGGATCAGCCGGCAGTCGAGGTTCTTGATGCGATGTCCTTCATCGATGATGATGAACTGCCAGCCGAAACTTGTAAGGTATTTGCGATCGTTCATGCAAATCTCGTAGCTGGTGACCATGATAGGGAAGTCGGCGGTACCGGGGTTCCGTAGTCTCGTCTTGCGTAGTCTTTCACGCTCCTTCTTGTCGCCATGGTATAGCATGACCGGCATGCTGGGTGTCCATTTCTCAAACTCTGCAACCCAATTGCTTGTGGTGCTCAGCGGTGCAGCGATCAAGAAAGGTCCATATGACTTGTTCTCCCATAGATGTGCAAGCATCGCAATCGTCTGGATGGTCTTGCCGAGACCCATCTCGTCTGCTAGAATGCCATTGATGCCGTTATTGTATAATGACACCATCCACTCAAGGCCCTCGAGTTGGTATGATCTCATAGTACCTCCAGTGACAAGTTTCGGCTGTCGCGCAGACTTGAGGTCTGTCATGCCAATGTCGCCTGTCTTTACATTGTCTTTGTCGTCCTCTGCTGCTTCTTTCAAGGCCTCTCCAACGTCCTGATTGCCCGCCTTCTTTTCTAAATCAGCCTTGCTGAAGTAGCTCGCTATGTCCGAAGTCTGCTTCTTGGGTCTACCACGGCTCTTGGTGTCTGTCTTCTTTGGTCTGCCCGCACGTTTCTTTGGCGTAGCATCATCTTCTTCCTGCTTCGCCGTTGTCGCGCCGTTGGCCGTGGATCCGCGTGTAGCTCGTCGCTGCGATGCTGCCGCTGTTGTATCGGCGATCTTTTCGCGCTTCGAAGTCTGTCCGTTCGTCCGCTCGTCTTGCTCGTGCTCCTGTTCTTCTTGCTGCTGCATCTGCGCAAGCATAACCGATGCATACAGCTGCTATACGTTAGCAATCATTCAGAGCAATGAGACGCACTGTCTCAGAGATGGACTGACCTTGCTCTTGTTCATCAAGAACTCCAATTGCTGGAACTTCTTGTCGAGTACTTCCCTGCCGCTCTTGATGTCTTCTTGCCTCTCCTTCTCTAGTTGTGCTTCGCGTTTCGCGTCATCCTTTTCGCGTTGCGTCCTCATGCGCTTCTCCTCCTGCTGCATCGACTGCGGTACACTCTCTGAATCCATGTCGGCTGGCGGTGGCGACGAAGCGGGTGTAGAATGCGATTCAGACATTGCGCTGGTAACAGGGGAAACGGTCATGTCGCGTGCGATGAGATGTGTTGCTCCAAAACAGGGTCAATGGGAATGATGGTATTGTATCTAGCGCCAGGGGTATGTGGTGATGACCGCATGTAGTGGAACGCGGTCGCGATGAAGGGGACGCGCTAAGTGGAAAATCGATGACGATGTTCTCGACGCGCGATCACGCCTGAACTTTAATTACTTTTGTCCACCCGTCCCGCGACGCGTCTACAGTCCAGCCAACGCGACATTAGAGCTTCAAGCGATAGAATACTGCGTCCTCTGGGTTCTCGTAATAGCTGTCAATCTCCTCAAACCCGTATCCCTCATACAGCTTTCTTGCAGTCTTCATGCTGCGTAGTGTATCGAGCAGCATCTCTTCATAACCCAGCTTCTTCGCATGCGAAAGCGCAGTTTCCATCAATGGTTTGCTGAGACGCATTCCCCGCGTTTCTGGCGCGAGAAACAAGCGCTTGAGCTCGCATGTCTTGGTCGGTGGTGATGTCGATTGTGCTAGTAGTGCTGCAGATTCAGCCGTGGTGGGCGTCGCGAAGAAGGGTCGGATGGCTATGCATCCTATGGCTCGCTCGTTCTCTCTTGTGGTGCTGAAGCCGGCGGTACTTTCGTGATTTTCGCCGTCTCCTACTGAGGAGACCAGTAGCCAAACAGCCCCTCCCTTTTCAGTTGCGTACTTGGCAGGTAGTTCCGCCAACTCGTGGTCGAAATTTTGAAAGTCTAGGCTGATGGGCAATGACTCCGCGTACGCCCTGAACAGCTGCCCCACCACCTGCTTGTCGGCGGGGAATTCGGCGTCGCGGATTTGTATGTTCGGAAGCTCAGGCATGTCGGTGCATGTGGGTCCTTGTGCTGCGGAGGGATAATGAGGTTTTTGAAGATGCCGTGAGAATCGCAGGTGTAGTAGATGTCCACGGGTACCAAGCTTGATTGCAACACGTCTCCGCTTACTTTAAATACGAACCTGCCTTCGAGATGTTGCTCTTGAAGGGCGCAATTCTAGCCTTACTAGCCCAGGCTTGTTCTCCACTTTCGGAGTTCGGAGTGGGACTCATGTTCTCGAGGGTTCGCTAATGGTGGAGCATCGTGAGCGCCCTAACCTCACCAGCGCTTCAGCCATCATTCAGCTGTTTTTGAGTTAGTATATTTTCTATCTAATTCGTCAAATCGCCATCGAATCACGTGTTACGGTCTTATGGTAGGAAATCACCGCATCCATTCAGCATCAGCACCATCTAACAACACCAGGTCTAGTGGTATGATTCTCGCTTAGTAAGTCGATCCGAACATAACTAGCTGCCTTCGAATCCTAACAAGACCAAGGGGTAAACCCAAGCACAGCTTGCGAGAGGCCCCGCGTTCGAGTCGCGGTAAGACCCATCACTATTTTTTTTGCGTTCGCGATGGACTCCAGCTTGAACCTCTTTCCTTTTTTGCATGCATAGAGTAGAGAATACAGCGTTGTTGCCGCACATCACAAGCAAAAACTTGATCTCACCTTAGACTAGGTTGATTGTTACCACGTTCTGCCACCAATGACTTTGAGAACCGTTGCTTCGGGCTCGACTAATAAACTATATCCTGGGACCTGCGTAGCTGAGCACTTCGCGACCTCTCTGTCAAAACACCCTTCTTCTCCATACGTCTTCAAGGCAACCCACACTATTCGCAAGTTCGTGGCGCAGTGCTTCGTGGATTTATATATCTGAGAAGGTGCCTTCCATCTGCTGCTCGCGCCTTCCCCACCACGCCTGACTACCCCTCACACAATGACCATCCGCCCGGCAACACCGGCCGATGAGCCCGCCATGGCATCTCTCCTGGCCAAAGCATTCTTTGATGAATCGCTTTTTGGCCAGACCCTGCATCCTCACCGTAACCAGTACCCAGACGATGTCAAGATATTCTGGTCCGAGTACCTGCGGGAGCACTGGAAGACGCCCAGCGAGAGACTTCTTGTTGCAACGACGACGGTAGATGGAGAAGAAAAGATTGCTGGCGCAGCTATCTGGAATAGACAAGGTGATGACGAGGGGAAGCGTAAGGTGGAGAACGAGTGGGTTGATGTCGGTAAGTATTTCCAGCTATCCTGGATTAATTGGTACCTATGCTAACATCCATACAGGACCGGATGCTTTCCAGCCTCTTCCCTCAACAACAAATCGGGCTCTTGACCCCACCAAGCGCAACATCTTGGAGGAAACTATGCCCTACTTTAAGCATCACTGGGATGGCGACCGCAGGAACAACTGGTATCTCGACATCCTCGGTGTTCATCCAGACTACGCTGGCAAATCGCTTGGGCGAGAACTGGTCAGCTGGGGGCTCGACCGCGCAAGAGAAGAAGACGTCCATGCAAGTGTCGTGGCTAGCAAAGGGAACGAGCGCTTCTACCTACGCTGTGGATATGATGAGATAATCGGAAACTGCACAGAAGGAGAGGGCAACCCGCTCAAGAATGCCGGAGTTGAAGGTGGAGATATTCTCTTCATGTTTCCGAAGCAGAAGCAGGAACATGCTGCCTCGTAAGGGCGAATCTGCCCAAGCATCAACCGACACTCGTATCTCGCACAACCTGTTCCGACGCGTCCGTCGTCAAGATGGTAGCCGATGCGTCACGACGCGTCGCGGTGCTACCAAGCCGATTCTCGGTCCGATAGGTTCCTGCATTACTCGCTAGCCGGTCTTCCAACATTTTCAACCAATCAGCGGGATAGCGAGTTAAGCCGAGTAATCTCCCGGTGCTTTTGCGGGGGAGCTTTTGCGCGCTTTCTTACTATCGTCGTCATTTGCGGGTAATCGGGGGACGGAGCAAGAATGGATCGGACTGTAGAAATAAGAATGGCATCGCAGGTTGGCATCGTGCGGAAGTACCTCAGTCATCTCTCAGTTTCCTACAATCATGAGGCGCTCATCTCCTGTCTTGGTTTCTCTTGCAGCACTAACAGCAAGCCATATCATTCCTCGTCAAGAATCCATTGATTACAATGCTGCTCCACCAAATCTCTCCACTCTAGCTAATGCGTCGCTTTTCGACACATGGCGACCAAAGGCCCACGTTCTCCCAGCGTTTGGACAGATCGGAGACCCGTGTATGCACTATACCGACCCAGAAACCGGCCTCTTCCACGTGGGATACCTGCATCTGGGTGCATCAGGTGCGACTACAAACGACTTGGTTACATACGACGACCTGAACCCCAACTCCGAGCCGTTCATCCGCGCTGGCGGCATCAACGACCCCGTTGCTGTTTTCGACGGCAGCGTGATTGAGAGGGGAGTCAACGGTACACCAACATTGCTGTATACCAGTGTCAGCTTCCTGCCCATCCAATGGACGATCCGGTATACCAAAGGAAGCGAGACACAGTCACTTGCTTTTGCTACGGATGGTGGACGTAACTTCACAAAATCAGAGTTCGGTCCTGTCATCCCTGACCCACCGTTTGCTGTCAACGTCACCGGTTTCCGCGATCCATTTGTGTTCCAGAACTCGCAGGTTGATGGCTTATTGGGCAAGCGCGATGGAACGTGGTATACCGTTATCTCGGGTGGCGTGCACGGAAAAGGACCGAGCCTCTTTTTGTACGCTCAATACGACGACGAAGACAGAGATTTGTTCCAAACCTGGGAGTACTTGGGCGAGTGGTGGCATGAAGCGGCGAATTCGACCTGGACGGATGAGGGTTGGGCTGGACGCTGGGGCTACAACTTTGAAGTCGCCAACTACTTTGCTTTGGACGAGCAGGGTGCTAACCCGGAAGGCGAGATCTTTGTTACAATCGGTGCGGAATGGAGTTACGAGCCTATTGTACCTCAAGTCTCGGACAACAGGGAGATGCTCTGGGTTGCCGGAAAGCAGGAGCTCGTCGACGGTAAACTGAAGTTTGAACCTACGATGGCTGGGCGACTCGATGCCGGACGATCTGCGTACGCTGCTGCTGGTAAAGTCCTTCCTGCAGACTCACAAGCTAGCAAAGCTAGCGGCTCTCCGGATCGCTTCATCACATACCTCTGGCTGACAGGCGACTTCTACGGCACCTTGACCGATGAGTTCCCAACTCCCCAGCAAAACTGGACAGGATCCCTACTCCTTCCCCGTGAACTCAGCGTCGGCCACCTAAACGTCATCGACAACGAGCTCTCCCGCGAGCAAGGTGCATGGAGAGTAGATTGCGAAAACGACAACGGCACAGTCACCCTCGCGACTCTCCACCAGAAGATCGCTCGGGAACCGTACGCCGCATTCCAAGAAAATGCCACGAATGTCATAACCCAATCCGGCGGATCCATGGCGAATGTAACGAAATTTACCGAAAGCCCAAAGTCAAAGCACTGGATGATGACTGCCTCCATCACCTTCCCCTCTCGCTCTGACGACGTACGTGCGGGCTTCACCATCCTTTCCGGACCCCAAGAATCCACAACCATCTACTACCAATTCAGCAACGAAAGCATGATCATCGACCGTTCGAACTCTTCTGCCGCGGCACAGACTACAAACGGTATCCCCACAGACAATGAGTCTGGAAAGTTCCGCCTGTTTGATGTTGCGGGCGGACATGGAAACGAGACCATGGTTGAGACGCTGGATTTGACGATTGTGGTTGACGGCGGTGTTGTTGAGGTACATGCGAATGATAGATTTGCGGTTAGTACTTGGGTGAGGAGTTGGTATGGGGATAGCACGGATGTTAGTTTCTTTGTGGAGGGTGGGGAGGTGAGGTTTGGTGATGTGACGGTTTATGAGGGGTTGGTTGATGCGTGGCCGCAGAGGAACTAGAGTAGTACGAACTGGTTTGAAGATGAAGACTTCGGTTCGACGTGTGTATAGTAAGAGTTATTGTATCGGTATATTGGAGCATTCGATTTTCAAAGCTGCTGACCACGGCGACATTGTCCGTTGTTGATTTCGATGTACGTCCGAACTGCTCTCGAATGCGTTCATAAATAGCTGACTCTAGTCACCTATGAGAAAGACGTTTGGAAGGCTTCAAGGGAGAATTAGCTCAAGATCAGGCTCGCTCATGTATTAGGTTCCAGTGCTAGGAGACGCATCCGTGGGTAGCGGGGAAGATTACGTCAGCGACGTCGAGCACCTCCTTTTGGCTAGCACTGCCGCGGTTGCACGAGAAGGCGCGGTGGCGCGCTCTCACCACGGGCGAAACACAGTCGGCCAGACGCAGCTCGCAATGAAATGTGTTTCTCATAGTCCCGAATCACCTACCTCTCCCATTCCGAATTCGCTCAGACACGTATAAGACATCGCGCATTTGGTCTCGTCCCGAGTTCTTTTTCTGCTAAGCGCGTTGCTGCCTGCGCCTGCCTCAACGCGCGATATAAGCTCACAGTACCCTGGCACCTTTCACGCCCAACTGTGTCAGAAGCAATTCTCGTGACGCGCAATCGTCAGAACCTTCTCGTCGCGCTCCATCCATCGACACATCCGCAACCCATCATCGAAAATCACAACGCACCCCCACCAACGAATCTCGATCCATCCTATACGATGACCATGGCGACAGTTCGCGAAGAGAGAACCCTGTCCGACACCCCAAATGGTCTCCTGCGCAGCCAACACGAGTACTCGTACCGTCTCCCGACAGCCCCGCGCATCGTGGTTCCCCCGCCTACCCTCACCACCGACATGCCCGGCCTCTCCCTCGGTGGCGCATCTGGAGGGGATGCTGACATGAGCTTCTTGAATGAGCTGGACCTCGAGGACATCATACAGAAGAACACACTGCTGGAATGGGCCTATGAGCGGCGGAGAGAGGCGCAAATGATCTTGCCCTGGGTCTATCTTGGACCCATGGTGGCCGCCAGGGACAAGAACTTCCTAGAGCGCGAGGGCATCACCATGGTACTGGCTATCCGTGCGCAGGCCAAGAGCATGATGGGCGCGACAAATGCGGCTGCCGAGGTCTGCATGGAGGTGGGCAGCATCGAGGCGCCCAGCTTCTACAGCCTCACACCACAGTTCCCGGAAGCAGCGAGGCTCATCAATTCACATGTCGCGCGAGTACGACAACATAGCTTGGAGAAGACAGGGCAAGCCACCCTGGGCAAAGTCCTAGTCTTTTGCGAATCGGGCAATGAGAAGTCGGCTGCAGTCGTTGCAGCCTACCTGATGCAGACGCTCCACGACATTGACTACATCAAGGCTATGCAGGTCTGCCAAGCGCAGCGCTTCTGCGTCAACTTCGACGACGTCTTGAAGAACATCCTGCGCGCTTACTGGGACATCATCGGTGCACGACGCTCTATCGCCACTTCGAATGCTCAAGCGACCCAGCAAAATGGTCTCGGCCACAGTTTCGCACAGCCCGGGTCACTCTCGCTTTCTGTCCCGTCACTCAAGCACAAGCGTAGTGTCCAAGATATGCAGGATCACGATGAAGACACGGACATGGACAGTGGTATGGACGAGTCGGACGCGCTACGATTTGCAGGGCGTGATGTCACTCCCTTCCAGGATCGCTAGGTGTAGGTCCCTAGCTTCGGCGATTCTATTAATTTGTTTGTTAGGCGTTCCAGTAGCATTATACCCTGCATATCTCAAGGCGTTATATGGCGATGCGTCTGCATCTGAAAGGTTGGTTACGTGTAGTTAATTCTGGAGCTCTGATGAGATGAGTGGATACATGGGTTGGTTGCTCCTTCCATTCAGGCTGCCCGTAGTATCTGGTAGCGACCGCGAACGGTCTCAAAATTCCCTCATACACTGGCCCTTGCGCCTTCCCACCACTTCGCGCTCTGCAACTCATGCCTGTCCTCCTACTTCAGACTGTGTTCAGTCACTTCCAAGGTTGTCGATTATGCGTCTGCATCGTGACACCCCGAACAGGTAGCTAGGTATGGCACCTTCCCTTGGCTCGCCAGTTGAACCAATGTTGATCATCGGGCAAGCAGGTTCATTTGCGACAACCATGGACGCACCAGCAGAGACAAATGTCTTCCATGGTGAAGCATCTCGCTCCGATATCATTTCCCAAAGAAATCAGTGACTATTCCTGCTCTTCTCCACTCGCAGGCCAAGATGTTAGCGAATTATTACAGCGCCTAGTGGCTGCCTTATCTTTAAGAGTCACTGTTCGCACGTGGTTGTGGCTCTTGCAATATTGCTTGATCCTGGCAGTACCGCTCCCTTGATGGCCGCTGACTTTCACTTTGGATTGACAGGGCTGCTATTGCACGCTAGACGCATCCATGGATAGCAGTCACGATGCGGTGTCATACAGGCCCAAACATGGTGGATACGGTGGACTCTACGATCACCACTTACCAATATCCCGCATCTTCTTCGTTCACAACGGGCTAGAACGCATCAATACCCAATCATCGCTCACACATTCTCAAGTCCACGATATGCCTTACAGCCTCCGAGATCTAGCCAAATTGAAAAAGCCTGCACGCTACAGGTCCACCGCTGACGAAGAGTCCACTACCCCAGAACCAGCTTCTAGCGACCAAGGTACAGACCTGAGCGACCAAGATGAGGAAGACCGCTCCCAAGGACCTTCGCGTACAAATACGCCGGCCCCGAACCCAGACTCACTTAGATCTTCGTCTTTCACTAACGACGACGTGTATCTCACACCACACCCATTTTCGCCGCTCTTCATGTCCAACGCACCCCACCCTGCGCCAGCAAGCGCAAGCAATCCACCAAACTCCCAAGAGAGTCGCAAAATGGCAAACATCAAGTACGTAAAGAAACGCTCTGGCGACGGACAGCAACCCCAAGCAGCGCCGGTAGTACGCGACTTCGCCATGCGCCCTAGCAGGACCTCTCAGCGCGCAGCAGCTTCCGAACCTGAACCTGAGCCCACCCATGTCCCTCAGAAGCCAGCGGCGTTCCCTTCGCTACCAGCCAACGCTCCACCACCGCCGTTTGACCCGAAATTCTCAGGTCATGGTATGAGAGAGCTGATGGCGGCTATCGAGACCGGCGACGAGACGCGCAAGGAACACATCAAAGACCACTTCAAGATTGAATACGAGGCGGGTAAAGATCCCTGGTATGTGGCCTTGAGGCGTCGCTGGGACCCTAAGATGGTAGATTCTAAGGTACGTGAAAACTGAACACCCTGGAGCCGACGTTGGCGTTAGATCGCCTACTTTGCATGTTTCCATCTTGATGTAGGCTCTGCAAGTATTCATGAGGCTAACATACAATGAAGGTCACATTCGAATCTCTATGGGTATCACTACGCCAGACTATCATCGAGCAGATAAAGGACGACTTCATTCCCGGCACCTATATCAGTCGCTTCTACCCCGTATGCTGCATCCTGAGCCTCTCCAAGGCGAAGCTGGATACGATTATGGCGGAGAACGCCGCAGTATGGGAGACCGAGGCTGAGATCCCACAATACTTCAAAGACTACAGAAGGCGATACCCTCATGCTATCATCGACCCGGAAGAGCCTCCCCCGGTCGAAGTGGTGAAGGCGATCAGATTCTTGAGACAGCAAAGGCTTCCTGTTAGTTTGTTGGGCGAGTGGCAGGCACTGCCGGGACCTGAAGTATTTCATCACCCTCACATGTTTCACCTTCCCACTGGACAACGTAGTAACGATCGATAGGCGTTTTATCAGCCTTCAGATAATGAAGTAGCAGAATCAATGGATGAAGTTGACCCGGTTTTCCGTTCTCAAAAGCGTAAAAGTAAACACCAAAACCACCTTTCGTATAGACAGACCCGCAAGCTGTTGAAACGTGCTGAAGGACAGGAGTCTCGACAAGCCGCAGAAAGGCAAGAAGCATCTAAAAAGCGGCGGCAAGAGCGATGCCAAAAGTGTGACAAGGAAGGCCATACATTGTTGGAACTCGACGAGAGAGGAGTATATAAAGTAAGTAACCCGTGCCCCCAGCCTTGTCGAGCGCACGAAATAACTGAGCTGACCCTATCAAAAGTGTCCCGCGCGCCGACAAGAAGTCCTGCAACACCAGACAGAAGTCGACACCCTCCGCGCACAAGGCAACGCTGAATATGCAGCGCTCGATCAACGTGAGCAAGAAGACCACACAATCAAAAGCCACACTTCCTAACCTACCTTAGCCCCCGGTCCCATGGACGCCGCCCCACTCCTCGAATACTTTCACAAATTGAAAGCCAACCCAAACTCAAATCCATGCCTCGCCCGGCAAGCAAACCCAGCCGCACACAATCCATACATGTCTACAGACCCCAGAGACCCATTCTATCTACTAGATTGCTTCGGACAACTTCTGACTCCTCCACCGAGTCCCTTTACCAAAGCGGGTTCAGCGAAAAGCAGTTTCTCAGGCAGTCTCTCAGACATGGGGGAGCGCTATAGCACACCGTCCCCACTGCTACAAGAATTGTCCGCGTACACACTGCCAGATCCGCCCGTTTGGCCGAATACGGATCACTTAGCTGGTGTACGTATGCCTGTGCAAGAACAACAACAACAACAACAACAAACCTCGCAGCAATCTGGACCGGCGCGACACGTACCGGCGCAACACGTACCGGCGCAACACGTACCGGCGCAACACGTACCGGCGCAACAAATTTCGGCACAGAATCTACCGGCACAGCATCCACAAGCACAACCCATACTAGCACCCCACATACCCAAGAAACGCGGCCCATATAAGACAAAGGACAAGTCTCTCAAAGCGGCTAGTATCTCGCCGATCAATAGAGTGGTGGGTAGAGGCGGTATGGTCAGTTTGGGTCACTCGAAAGAGGTGACGGATATGCTCAAGGCACAGGCAGAGGCGCACGCACAAGCACAAGTCCAAGCCCAAGTACAAACACCGGTACAAACACAACTTCAAGCACAAGTCCAACTCCAACCCCAAGCACCGGCACAGCCTCGGAACGAGGAAGTACAGAAGGAAGTTGAGACGAAGCTAGATACGCCGCTGTTAACAGATGCAACGTTGATAGATGAGGAGAAGCCGGTGGATGGAGGTGCGGTACTGCCGCCGTGTCCGTTTACGAATCCGACGGAGACGGCGGCGGCGACGGCGCAAGAAGAGGGAGGTGTGTCGATGGTGGGTAAGACGGCGGATGGCCGTGAGAAGGGGAAGGGAAGGGCGGTGCAGATATAGGTGGAGGGGGATAAGGGGACAAGGCGACAGAGACATCATGTGCCGCTGTGATAGGACGTGATCTGGTGGATTAGACTGGGGGTTTGGATGGGAAGAGGTATCGTATCGCATCGTTAGAGACACCCAACACCCATATTGTTAGGTCTCGATACCCAATACCATCATTCATCAGCGTTCAGACGTCTTTCTGTACACCTCACCTCACCGCGATAGAAGTATGTGTTAAAGCGTGAATGTTTTCATTCTTGATCCAAGTGGGTATAATGCGTCCGTCATCTATATCGTTTCCAAAAACCTCCTTCCAGAACTCCTTGCCACCACTTCCACCCATAGTCCGCTCATGAGACATTGAATCAGCTAAACTGATCGCCATGCTCACTCTCGCCTCCAACACGGCGCCCAGCTATCCTTCCTTGGCTCAACTTCCACCGCCACCGTCGTTCCCGCTCGTCCTTCTCCCGTTGTTCTCGTTGAGCTTTCTTGCGCTCGTATACGGCGCGGACTGTTCGTTTTGTGCGTTCGGCGCCTTCACTATAGTTGGCGCGAGCGAGATTCACAACACTGTCGATTTGCTCGGGTGTGTAGACGAAGTTCCAGGTCGACATGAAGTCGCTGACTTTGGGATCAACGCCGGGTACCTTTGGGTTGGCGAGGAAGGGGAAGTATATGACCGTGATACCAGAGGCTGGGTGCATGAGTTCCCAGTCCTCGTCCACTTGTTTCGAAATTGGGTGCTCGGTATCAGATTCGCGTTCCTCGGTAGTACCGACCCAGATGTTGCAGTAGCCTAGGTCTTTGCTCTTCTTGCTACCCTTATTTTCATCGGCACTCTTGTCCTTGGCTTCTTCGAATTTGGTTTGGGCTTGTTGTTCCGTCTTGGCTTGTGCGCGTTCAAGGTCTTCCTGGAGGTCTTCCATGGGTTCGTCGTCTGGTGGCCAGCCTGCGCCGACGGGCCATCCCTTGATGCCGCGCTGGCGGGCGTAGCCATCAGCAACCTTTAGCCAGTTGTCGGTTTTGACATCGGCGGAAGCGTCGAACGCGACGAGAATGTCAACGTTGCGTCCAGGTCGGAGAAGAGGATAGATGGGTAGGTTATTGGACATTCCCGCGTCCATGAACTGGAAGTTCTTTTGTTCGAAGATGCTTTCCGGACATGATGGGGGCAGTAATTCGCGCATACCGAGCGCGTAGTTGGGCATGGCGGCAGGGTCGATCGGGTGGACCTTGACGAGATCATCATCGCGCTCAGCGATCATGGCGTCTATACTGCTGCCGAGTCCTGTGATACTGCGCATGAGGGGTCGGATCTCTCGGTAGTAGTGTGAGAGGGTCGCACAGAAGGCAGATCCCCAGATACCCATAAGCAACGGAACGCGCACTTCGGGCAGAGCCAGGCCATTATCCCGCCAGACTGTGCGTCCATTTTCGAACTGACGGCCCATTGCCCAGGTGGGTATGCCAGAAGAGAGCTCCTCGCACCACATCTCGTACGGCGTGAATTCGAACCATTGGAACCAAGCCTCTTTTCTTGCCTTTGCTTCGGCTGCGATGCGGTCTGTTGTGTCTCCTTGCTCGGCGAGCGGTATTTCGTGTCGTACGGCCGTGTAGATGGGTAGTGGATGGGCTCCGTTGTCGGTATAGCGTCGCTGGTTCGAGACCTTGAAGTCGTACTCGCTAACAGAGAGTTCACCTTTTGGTACGAGCAGGCGGGCGGCGAGCAGTGCGCCGTAGATGTCCACCAGTCCAAAGTCGGCATCTGGGATACCCTTTGCCTTCTCGACAAGTCCGCTCAAAAGGTATTTGTTGGTAGGCGCGCTGACGAGTAGTTCGAGCGCATCGGCTGGGAAGGCAATGTGCACGCCGAGGCGGTTCTTGAGGTGTCTGATCATGCGAGCGTGGCTGCGCTGGGTGAGGTCCGAGTAGTAGAGGGTCTGTAGCCAGCAGCTGCCACTGACACCAGCCGTGTAGGTGACGCAGTCGAATAGACCATGCTCTTTCGAGGAGAGGTATGAAGATGTGCCTGCCACGAGCGCACGCAACCCTCCACCAGACCCGCACATGGCAATGACAGGCACGTCGTCGGGATGTATTTGCGCTTCGGGAATGTCGAGGTATCGTGCAAGTGCGGCCTTGGTGAACTGCGCCCTCTGCTTCAGAAATGCCTTTTCTTCATCACACAGCTCGTCCGAGACCCTCACGGAGGCATCCCATATTATCTCAGGGTTGATCTCGGGATCATTGGCTTCGTACCATATCTCCTCAGCGAGGGAGCCCGGTGCCATGGAGAGCTCATCCTGGAGTTTGCGGATGAAGCCAGGGAGGACCTTGACCCAATTCGGCACAATGTAGTCGATGATGGTGTCGCCGAGCTTGGAAGGTGACGGGGAGGCGGGGAACTTGCTCGTGATGGTCTGCCAGGCTGACTTGCTCTGGCCGGCTTCCTCGTCCTCTTCGCTGTAGCCCTTGGCCACACGCGTCTGCGATGGCGCCTCCTGCTCACCTGACTTGTGCTCGCCTTCCTCATTCACCTGCCTCTCGGCGTCTCCGACCGAAGTGGTCTCGGTTTGTTTGTCATTGCCGCCGAAGAAGTATCGCTTGAGGGAAGGCGCGTCTAGATGGATGGGACGGAAGAGTGGGTACGGCGACGACGCAGAAGAGAGGTAGCCAGTCGCAGCAGTCGCGAGGAGACATGGAGGGCCGTACCGCAGGCCGAGCGTAGCAGCCTTGGATCGCTGGGAGAGCGGGTGCTTCGTGTGCAGGCTGGCGCTATTAGCAGGGGCATACAACGGGTGGTGTGTTAGCTTACCCACGACGCGTCCCCCGCAGCGAGAAATGGCCCAGGTTGCGCGTGTTCCTATAGCCGGCCATGCGCGTAATTGAGTCAGAAAAGGCAATGGGAGTGGGATGGAGGTGCCGTGCGAGCCTGGCACATGGGGAAATGCGCAAAGCCCACCGTCGCCCATGGGAATGCGTTAAGCATGACGGAGCATGTAACCTGCTTTGAGCCCGCAAAATTCCGCCAGAACTGGTTTCGGCATGACGCCAGCCGAATCACTGCCCGCTCAACGTCTGCCAAGCCATGCAGGAACGCTGACCCTGCCGCCAATCAACCCATGTCGACACCATCCACTTGCGAAGACACCCGCGTTATTCGCGACTTACATGAACCACACAAATTTGGTCCTTGAACGCGGTAGGTCCATGGACTATTCCAGTCTCGTATCGCCGGCACTCCGGTTGCTCGCAAACAGACATGCTCCAACACCCATTCGCTACCAGCATAGAGATGTCTTTATTTTCGATTGATGCAGCACTCATTGAGATTTCAGCTTTCTCCAGTTTCCTGCCAATTCTGACGCGCTTGGTATGACCAACCTTACTCTCCGGCGAGAGTGCGGAGAATTCCCAATCCCCTCACTCACCTGTACGTACCTCAAAGCATATCGAACGTGGTAGGTAAAGGGCATCATGAGTCGGTGCATGTCTTTTCTCTCACCTCTCATCCTGAGCGCGGGCTGTATCTTACCTTGATGGATGCTATTTAAGCTCCCAACTCAAGCCTGTTCTCCCACTCTACAACTCTCTTTCATAGACTCTACCTCATCTCCATATATTGACACACCGACTACTCTTCTCGGCCTGATTGGGCAAGACCTTCCTGATCTGAATCGCGCAACAACCTCACAGATACGATGGCACTCCCAGCATTGACGAGCGCGTCTAGTCGAAGCCAGACGGCTTCCCAGAAACGGAGCTTCACGGATATGCATAATGCAGCTATCGATCAAGAAGTTGCTAATAACAGCTGGTACGCAATCAAGCCAGAAGAGATCACCGTCGTAGTTGGAGACATGTGCGATAAGCTCACCACTCCAATGGAAAAGTATACTTCTGTTGATCAAGGCTTCCACGATTTGATCAATGCGGCAAAAGCTGCGAAAAAGCTGCCTGAAACTAAGCATTGCAGTGTGGCGGTACTTGGTGAGCAAGGCATTGGCAAAAGCTCTCTTGTCAATGCATTGCTCGACCGAAGCCTCCTAGATCGATCTGGTTCCTCGAAAGCATGCACGGCTTATGCAACGATTCTTGAGTACAAGTCTGGAGCTCGCGACCACACTACAAGGAGCGACCTCTTGGTGGAGTTCTTTACGAAAGAAGAGTTCAGGGAGTGCATCCAGGAGCAAATCGACCGCTGGGTTGAGGTCTATCCCTTTGCCAGACAGAGTGCTGAACCACCCGACGGAGAAGACGAAGATGATTTGGATGACCGTGATGCTACTCAAGCTGCCAGTGAGCCAAGCTGTAGGGCAAGATCGCGTGGAGCAGTGACGGCCAAAGAATTTTTCGAGATCATCTTCAATGCCCGGAAAGAGGAAGCCTGCGCAAAGCTCGAGGAGACACTTTACCACACGGACATCAAGGAAGGAGACTTCTTAGACATCTGCTGCCGACAAGCCGACGATCGACTTTCGCAGCTCGCTACACAGATGAGCGGGATCAATACACGAACGCGCACCGCATACTTCCCCAATATCCCAGATAAAAGACTTGGAAGAACAACAGGCAAAATCAGGAAGATGTGGCCATTCGTGAAGGTTTTCACCGTTGCAACCGGCCACATTCTTCTCCGTCATGGACTACGTTTCTTCGACTTGCCAGGCAAGTCATTGAAATCTTCAACGATGTGAAAAAGCTAACAGAACAGGCTACGGCGACACGAGTCAGCTAAGAGAAGCAGTAATCAACAAATTCCGCAGGAAGGCTGACTACGAAATGGTGGTTGCCCCATGTTCACGGCTCCAGACTAGTGTGTTGCAGCATAAGTACATTGATCGATCGATCCACCTCAAAGGAGCCAACAAGACTATACTCGTTATGAACAAGGCCGATGTTAGTTGACATTTATCCCAGTCTAACAGCATATAACTAATCGATCTTCTAGGAAGTTCTCAACGAGGATAGCATGCCTACCCAAATTCGAGAGATCGACGAACACCCATTCATAGATCTGACCGCACGCTTGGAGGACCTCGAAAAGCTAGAAGACGATGAGGATTCGGACGATACCATGATATCCGAGATGTTCGAAGAACTGCTACGAGAAGCCACGGGTGCTTTCATAAAGTACGAGACAGCAAACGTCCAAAAGCAGATGCAGCTCAAAGGCATCAAAGTCTTCTCGGTATCTGCTATGGCCTACACCGCCTTGAATAACCGGGTTCAGAAGAACAACCTTATGCTTGACGATGACAGCATAGGTATCTACGCGTTAAGACACTACCTCGCCACATTGTCGTCAGCAACCAACTACAAGAACTTCTACGATCACGTCCACGAAGCACTACCAATGTTCCGAAGGCAAGCTTCAACACCCCTGGAAAACCACATAGAAGACAAAAGCTATGCTGCCATGCGACATGAGCTTAAGATTGAGATACACTCACTTCGGGGCGAACTGAAGAGACGTAACGACAGTCGATTGCAGTCCCTAGTGGTGAAGCCATGGTCTAAAACAGAGGAACAAGACATCATCTGTGGTATACAGGATCTAGTACAAACTTCGTGGATTCATCCCCGGATTTACTACTCGGGCTTTTCAAAGATGCTCGCCGAAAACGGGATCCCGGTTAATGGAAAGTATCTCGGCCATAACATGAACCACGAGCTCCTTACTGTTATGAAGATGTACTTCGACAAGTGGTACAACAGCTTGGATGAAACAATTGGAGACTTTACACGCCGCCTGCATAGAGTTGTTGAGAATCTATTGGAGAGGACTAAATTGGCCATCGGTCGGTCTTCTGCGCCATCAGCCTTGCGAGTAAAAGCAAGGGTCGAGCTGTCTAGCGTTAAACAGCGCATCAAAGCGGCAAAAGACACACTTCTCGCAAGTCTACACCTTTCTCTTGGAGAAACTCACCTGAATTTCACGACAGAAATCGACAAGTCCTGTCCGATAGCAGTGGAAATGAAAGCCTGCTATGCACGAGCTCTGGACCGGACCGTTGTCAAGTCTGGTGAAGGCATATACAACAGACAACGAAACATACTGCAGACCTCGATGATCGAAGGAGCAGACCACTGTGCTACTTCAGGAGAGACTCTACGTCCGTTACTCGAAAGTATTGCGAAGAAGGTCCAGGGCCAGCAAAAAGAGGTGTGGAAGACCCATTGCGAGACGTTCGTCGCCAGCACCATTGAACAACTTGAGGGCTTCTCAAATACTGCTGAACAGCTTCTCATGAACCCCTCGTACGTGACTGGAAGGCACAAGCGGGCTCGTGGCGAGTTGAGGAAACTACTCAGTGACTTCGATATCAGCCTTGCAAGTCTTCAAAGTCGATTCGTCAGCGTAGAAGAGGAACACGCTGAGAAGAGGGCCAGGCGCGATGAGACGGAGGATGAAGCACCAGTCACACCACCTGTCTCTGGGCCGCTGGTTGCTTCGGTACCTGTCTTGGACAATAATGGTTGGATTCCTCCGTTCGGCGATGGATTCGATTTGAATGACGATTGGCTCGACTATGACCTCGGGTTCGTTAACTGATTTCTCTGTCTTGACTAGCGGACTGCACATGTGTACGGCACATGACTTCCTTCCCTGCCTTCATTATTATTTCGGCGACAATGCTTTGTTTCCTTGTCTTGAGAAGTTCTTTAGCTGGGCAAGCGACTCTTCTTACTTCACCTTCATTCTTGCAAGTACCATCGATGCCCAGGCGAGCATTTCACGTGTACGGAATGGAAAACACAATGGCTTCTGCGTATCTAGTTAACTCACTTAGTACTCAATTGTATAACCTTGTACAACATCTGTCTGTGCTCATGTGCGCCACAGTGGTACTTTCCAAGGTTGAATGCAAGGCGCATACGCGTCGCCGAAACATATGTGATACGCAGACAGCGGGTTTCCGGTGGCAGGGGAGGCTGATTAGCGCATGTACCCGCTGTGAAAAACGTCATTCTGGGGTATCAAGGCCCGCAGATAAATTGACTGCCGTGCAGTTCTACACGTAACAAGCATGTGTTGCGTGAATCCACGATGAGTGACTCGACTGCGCGGCTTATCGCAAAGTGAAAGGTGTCGAGATGATCTACGCTGGACCCTGGCCGTCTTAGCGTTGCCTCCGCGACAGCTCTCCGCAAGCATCCCCTCCCACATCATCCTACACCGGGGATCGGATTCCCCAATTGGCTCTATTCTTTCGTTTGTACAAACATAGGCTGTACTTCATGTTCGCTTCATTATTACCCGCCCGTTTGATATAATCGAGGTCGTCCTCGCCGCCGAACGCGCGTACACGTAGCCCTCGAGGCAGTTGCGCATCTATCCAGCAGTCGCCATGGTCGCCCCTCGGAAAGCCGCGCTCCTGGAGGAGAGCGCGGAGGTCGAAGTGCTCTTCGCCAACATGGAGAAAATGAAGACGCTCACAAAAAAGATCCAAGGCTCCGTCAATAGGCTCGATGCGAGCGGAAAGGCAGTCCAGGAAGCAATCGGCCCAATCTACGGCAACACACAGAAGCTACAGATAGCAAACAACAACGTCGACCGTATAATAGACGCAATCGACCGCCTCCGAGCCCCGCGCGAGGAAAGTGCAAAGGAAGAGAGGATCATTCGCGCTGGACCTGGACGAGGAGACCTGGACGGCTACATTGCTTCGCTCGACCGCACCAACTTGAGTCTCGCAGACCTCAAGCGCACCAACCTTCGCTCCAACGAACAGGCCATTGCAGAACTTAGCGGGCTCTTGAAGTTGGGCAACAAGCAATTGGAGGATGTGTTCCGCGGCATACTGCAGGATAGCGCGAGAGAAAAGGTCCAGGCCTTGGAATATGTCGCGAAGCGTATGTCACTCATGTGCTACAACTAAAGAGATGCTGACACTGCATAGAAAACCCCTTCCCTCGCATGCCCCAAGATAAGCTCCAGAGCTTGCGCAGCATCAACTCGCACATTTCCAAGTCCTTCGCCCAGTTATCGCAGATCGACCTGTCGCAGACCCCCACGCGAAGAATATACGCAGACGTCCGCGGCGAATACCTAGAGAGCGCACTGAGGAGTCTCATGCAGGCGACCATCAGCACAGCCAGGAAGGTGCAGGCAGATGCGCTGTACAAGAAGGGTACTAATGGTATCGGCACATACGTCCAAGCGATAGAGGGCCTGTTCGTGGCAGAGTTCGACAACCTGAATTACGTCTTCGACAGAGAGGAATGGGCCGATGTCTACGAGTCAACGTGCCAGGTCCCGCTGCAGGACTTTAGCAAGACCCTACGCGAGCTGAACGGGCATATTCAGAAGAACCTGCTGACGGACTGCTTTCTGGGATACGAGATCTGCGGGTTGGTCCGGACTCTGTCGATGCGGCTGCAGAAGCAGACTGGTGCCCTGAAGGATCAGATCTACGACAGTGTGAAGCCGGTTCGGGAGACGTCGAAAACGTCTCTGAGCAAGATGCTCGAAGACACACGGTCAAAAACACAAGGTCTCATTGCGCTTCCTATCGACGGCGGCCCGGTGGACATTACAACGCAGACGATGCGACGCTTGCAAGAGATGACCAACTACCTCGAGCCTCTCGCGTCGATATTGGCATCTTTGGGAGAGGGCGGCTGGAACTCTGGATCGGCTAACAACTCATCCACGACTTTGGATGTTGGCCCCGACGGCGTGAAGTTGTTCGGGTCATATGCGGCGGATACTGTCGACACACTTTTGCAGAATCTAATTGGCAAAGCAAAGACACTGCTCAAGGGCAAGAACCTACAAGGTGTCTTCATGGCCAACAACATCGCTATCATCACACGCATCATTCGCTCTTCAGAGCTCGCACCGCTCATGGACAGCTACTCCAAGAAGCTGGCAGACTGGCGTAAGCAAGGTACGGCCATGTACCTTGAAGCGTGGCGTGAACCATCAGGGTATCTACTGGATGTGCAGTACACGAACCGTAGCAAGGAACGCCCAACGTCAGGCGGTGCAGATTCGGCAGCTATCGTAAAGTCTCTCAGCTCCAAAGACAAGGATGCAATCAAGGAGAAGTTCAAGAACTTCAACACAAGCTTCGACGATCTCGTCACACGACACAAGGCGTACGCAATGGAGCCCGAAGTGCGGAACCAGCTTTCCAAGGAGGTACAGAACATCATCGAGCCCCTGTACAACCGGTTCTACGACCGCTACCGGGAGATCGACAAGGGGAAGGGCAAGTACGTCAAGTACGACAAGACCGAGTTGAACAGGGCATTGGCGAGCTTTGCATAGCGAGGTGCTGCGGCGTTGGATTGGAGTTGTTTGCTTGGGACATGCGCAAAATACCCTTTGATTTGCATAGATAAGACGACGAACTGGATATGGGTATGCCGATGGTCGGGATGGACGCGATGTAATTGGATAGGTGTCGAGTCTTACATCCCGCGTCCTGTGGTGCCACGCTGCAGCAGCGTGAGCGGCAGCCTTGGGGTGCGACAGCGGTGTCAGGGTTGAGGCAGATAGTCGTGAGGAAGCAACGACCGCTTAATGTCTAGTCAACGCGTTGCTCGTGCCTTCTAATTACCCACACGTGACGCTACCTCTTTGGGAAGCACGGTTCGCGACTGCCTCTTGCAGCAGTGCACAAGAGCACAAAATCTCCAACAACGTGAAAGGTGTCAACTGCATCCCTCCTACACTCTCCCTCACCCGCGCTGCTCCCACTCGTCGTGTGTTATTCCCAGCGGTATTCGACGCCGGCTCGCTGCTAGTGGTGACGCGGGGATTTTTGGTCTAGTGCCCATTGCTTCGGCGTTGCTCCAATCGCGCCCATCCCTGTGCGGACCCCTTTCCTCCACCCAGCGACGGACGGCACCACGACTTCCCTTTCCAACGTCGCAGCCTCCGGACAACCACGCCATTTTCCTTCGCAGCCATCTGCACCACCTTCAATTCATTGCTTTGAGTGCATCACTCACTCGAGAGCATAACTACCGCTGACTGGTACGCCGCCCTTCCCTCACGCCTGTCTCACTTTATTTCTCCCGATCTGGGCTTGGTCGCGTTGTTACATTTGTTTAGCAGCCACGCAGCCAGCACCAGCACGCATTGAGAGCCTCCGCTGACATCGCTCCCTCATCTGCAGAAGTCCCTCACTTGACGACCCATCGTCCGTTTCTACTACACTATTTACACCATGGGTAAGGAGCTCTCCCCGACCCCCGTCTCGCGACATCAACAACTACACCTCAGCCACGGCATCATTGGCACCTCAGGCACACACGCGGTAGCTCTTGGGCAACGCCAAGCAGGGTCAAACCTGGTTGGCATTGGTCGCTGCTGCCGCGCTCGACGGCCATCACTTATTTCCCCTGGCCCCTGGCTAACATCCTGCTGTAGAATCCAACGGTGCTACCTCTCCCGCGCCGCCCACCCGTGCGTCTCCATCGCCCCCAGCGTCGTCCAGCGGATACGGCATGGATCAAACGATGTCGATGTCTAACGGCTCCTCTCCAGCGGTGCACACCATCACGGCGAAGAACCCCAAGGCCGCAGCTGCCATGGCAAACGACATGAACATCGTGCGCAGGAAGCTCACAGGCTACGTTGGTTTTGCGAATCTGCCCAACCAGTGGCACCGCAAGAGTGTGCGCAAGGGATTCAACTTCAACGTCATGGTTGTCGGTACGTGTACCCCCGCCCCAGAATTGACCATCCGAGCTAACGTGTCATTTCAGGCGAGTCTGGACTCGGAAAGTCGACCCTTGTAAACACGCTCTTCAACACTTCGCTGTACCCGCCCAAGGAGCGCAAGCCCCCCAGTCTCGACATCTCCAAGACCGTATCGATCCAGTCGATTAGCGCCGATATCGAGGAGAACGGTGTCCGCCTGAGGTTAACAGTAGTCGACACACCCGGCTTTGGCGACTTCATCAACAACGATGAGTCCTGGGACCCCATTGTCAAGAACATTGAGCAGCGCTTCGACGCCTACTTGGATGCTGAGAACAAGGTCAACCGCATGAACATTGTCGACAACCGCATCCACGCCGTTGTTTACTTCATCCAGCCCACTGGCCACTCCCTGAAGCCCATCGACATTGAGGTGATGAAGAAGCTCCACACCAAGGTCAACCTGATTCCCGTCATTGCCAAGGCCGACACCGTTACTGACGATGAAATTGATAACTACAAGAAGAGGGTACGTCGCTCTATCTACATGTGTGGACACTGCTAACAAGTACAGATTCTTGCAGATATCGCCTACCACAAGATCCAGATCTTCGAGGGCCCACGGTATGAGCTTGACGACGAGGAGACCATTGCGGAGAACCAGGAGATCATGGCCAAGGTCCCCTTCGCCGTTGTCGGTTCCAACACCGAGGTCACCACTGTTGACGGCCGCAAGGTCCGCGGGCGCGCGCTGCCCTGGGGTGTCGTCGAGGTCGACAACGAGGAGCACTGCGACTTTGTCAAGCTGCGCCAGATGCTGATCCGCACCCACATGGAGGAGCTCAAGGAGAACACTAACAACGCTCTGTACGAGAACTACCGTTCCGAGAAGCTTGCAC